GAAGACTTTCAGCTCTTGCACAAAGATTTTTAACAGCTTTGTGTTTGCTTTACTTCAGCAAACGTTAAACAGGCAGACTACGACCCAAAGAAGAGAAAAAACATTTTCTGGCAAAGATGTGGTTATGCACTTTGAAGCATGAGCCATAAAACTGCTGTTCAGAAAACTGGCTTCTATAGAATCACTACTTGGAAACATCTTGTGTCTGCAGGCTCAGACATTCCAAAACAGTTTTTATTATAAAATCAGGATTAATATACACTAATAGATTTGGGAATCCTTAGCCAGGTTTAAATTATTTGTGGCCATTATTTTTAAATGCTTTTATCTCAAATATACCCATAAAACAGTTGAGTATTTTGACAGGGGGCCTTCTGTAAATCCACTCTGGGAATTAAAGCTACTTAACAGGGCCCCACCGCTTTCCTCAGAAAGTGTCTTCCCACATAATAGAGAACTAGAAGGTAGAAACTCAGGTGGGTTGAGGAAGCAAGAGTAGTCTTGTAAAAATTCTTACTATAGGAACAAAACTTCAGTACACAAGAACAAGATTGTTTCACATTTTATTAATTTTATTAGTTGTGGGTTGGGATTTATATGGGCTAACCTTTGGCAACAGTGTGTAGGATTTTGTAAAGCTTTCAGCAATAAAGCGAGCAAGGAAATGTTATTGCTTAAGCATTGATGCTAAGAGTGCTAAGTGATCAAATGGACACAGAATGTGGTCAGTTTTCCTTTCAATCCATAATGTGGACCATGGGAGGTTCTCCGTACTTTGCAAGAACCCTGAAATTGTATGTCCTTTTCACCACAAAACATTTCTCACAGCAGCATTATTAGATATCTGTAAGGAAACTGAAGAGTTTTGTTTTTCTGAAGGTAATTATTACTGCACTTATAATTCCACTTGATTTCTTAGATCACAGCCCCATTAGGATCACATCCAAATACCTTTGTGCAGTTTATCTCCAACTCTGTAAGTTGCACATCTTGAAGGTCCAATAGAGGACTACTGCCATTTCTCTTTCTATTCCAGCAGTACTTAAACATGAAACCCTGTATATGTATATAAGGTAGCATCAATAAGTAAATGAACAGAATACTGAAAATGAACCATCATACTGGTCTTGTGATTGAGACTAAAAATGGAAGCATCTGAAGCATCACTAACACACACTGATTTTTTAATCTAAATATTTAAGGACTTAACTCATTGAAAAATGATATGTCAGACAATTAAAGAACAATGCCAAATATATATTTTAAAATTCTTATTAAGTCTCCCCAGTCGTATTTCAAAAGATTCTAAATATTTATGACTTTCTAAACTATTGGTCATGAATTAATCATTTGGTACACAACTATTTCCACAAGTTGCTTTGGTAGTGCAGTGACAAAAAAAAACCAAAAAACAAACAAACTTAACAGAAGTTTCATTTCATCTATGAATGAGTTAACAAAGGAGGAATGCAGACACCTAACTGCACACTTTGCAGTCATTTCTGAAAGCGGTGTGTGTAGCAGAGCAGGGAAAACAAAGAAGATGGAAAAACTGCACAGAAAAATGCATCAAACTGACATATTTTGGTGTAGACTAAGCTCAGGTGTAAATCCCATCTCTTTCCCTCTCAACAAAAAGACTCTGAGCTGTTCCCATGCCAGGAATTTCCTTCAAATATCTCATGTGCAACACAGCCTCCTTCTCCACAGTATTTTTCTCTGAAATACCTCTTGGTTGTCTAAGCTAGACTTGCTAAAGAATGAGAACTTCTAGGAGGCTTCCTGCTGTCGGGAGGATGAGTCTGAGTACTGCCAACCATTAGAGGTAAACTTGAAGGATACACATTGACTGAACAGTACTGTCACCTGTGTCAGCTTATATTCAGTGTAGACCTGGCTCCATTCAAATAAAACAATATTGGGAATTCGAAAGCAGAAATAACAGCAAGGGGTGGGGAAAAAAGAATATCTATGTGTGGTTCAAATATTCTGGTTACAGTGGACCAGGAGTGGGGTCTAGCATGGTTTAAGGTTTATCATCATTATCACAGGAGAGGAGCTGAATATGGGGGCAGGACAGATACCTGAACAAAAAGCCTGGCCAGAAGTATGAAGTAAAGAACCTGCTACAGATCTGTAATAGATATAAGGGAGGAAGTGTTTCTTAGAAATGATTAAAACCTGAGAGCTCAGAAAACATCACAAAAGGTAAATAAGTTTTCTAGTCATGTGAAGTGAAAAAAAAACGCCCCAAGCAGGTACATATGCCATGCAAGCCTACATGAGACTAAACCTGTATCACCTTCCTAAGTTTCTAAGAAAACTCTTTTCATCTGTATTAAAAAAAGAAAACGAAAAAAAGATTATTTTCAATTAGGTATGAATGTATTTAAACAGCTTTTATCAGAGCAGTCTACAGGCAACAGTACATCCTTTGGCTGGTGCTTCATCAAGGTACCTCCCTCTTCTCAATTTATCAGATTTAGTCATTCTAGCTACCAAAGGCATTATTTTGTCATATAAATGACATTGTAACATCCACTGCAGCATTCCAGAAGGGGGAACACTTGATTTTCATTTTGACCAAAACAACTCTCTACTGCAATAGCTGACAGTGATGCTTCTCAGATGGTGAGATCTGTGAAGAAAATTTATAAACAGCTAATACAGAACTCGTGTCAACAAAATTACACCTCTAGAACTCTGGTAATTGCCTCACACTGAAGTGACTGAGAGATAGTGTCTATCGTGCTGTGAAAAAAACCCACCCATAAACCCCCCCCCCCCAAAACCTCTTCCAAAGACAATGCTTCAGCTCCAACACAGGCTTGCATGAGTGACTGATGCTGATAAGTAGCAGATAGTTCTGACAGAGGCAATGCCTATTTTTTTCCCCAGAAGTTTTAATTCTGTTCTTTAAAGATCTGAATGTGACACATGAAGATCTGAATGTGACACATCCCCACAAGTAAACCACTGAAGTTAAAGGATTAATCTGTCTTTTACTATACTTCAGTGGTTTTACTTCAGAACATTTTTTTTCCATTTATGATGCAGCCATATTGACAATAGCTCCATCTCCAGAAAGGGGTAATAATTCCAGCCACCTTTCAACAAGGGAAAAGAAACAGTGTTAATGATGAAGGAAAACAAGCTTCATCTGTACAATCAGAAAGAGTGAACACTGTTTAATCCAATGGAAATTTTGGTAAAGACTTAAAGTGCACCTAAATTAATGCCAGAAGAGCCTTCAAGATTTATTTTATAAACCAGAAGTTGATTAGACATAGTTGAGCTTAAGGAAATCTGAATCCAAATGCTCACTGGCCCAGTACAGTACTGTCCTGTCTTGATTTCTGCTTTTTGTACGTTTTCATGTGCTCTATTCTCAGTACTGTCAGGGGTGACAATGGGGAGGTGGTCAGATAAAGAAACAGAAACACCACAGCTGGATTAAACTTTATTTCCTAATATTTACTTTCCTGAAGAATAAAGATATCAAAAGTCAACTGCAAATGAATACAACATGGAATCTTACCGAAGGAAAGGAAAAACAAGGAAGAAATAAAAACTACTTTGCTGGAAATTCTACTGTATCTGAACACACTTTTTCTATTAATTACTGGCAGCAGCTTTCCCTCTTTGGCCACAAAGTAGCTGTATTACAAAGATACGAATGTTTGTGTTTGGGGTTTTTTTGTTTGTTCTTTGGTTTGATTTTTTTAAATTAACAAATACAAATTGATTCACACTTCACCGAGGACCCGATTCCCAGCTCAAGCGTGGTAAGCACCAGCAATTCATGGAATGTAATGGCCAGTGATGTACAGGGGGTCAGTCCATGATCTCACGGTCTCTTCTGGCCCTAAGCTCAAGGTCTCTATTACATGCTTGTCCTGCTAGTGTCCTTGGAAGTGAACTTTATTTCCATTTTAATGCAGAAATGCAAGATCTTGTTAGAGACCATACACATATCTGACAAAGTTGGAAGGTAACAAAAGAGAATGTTCATCATAATAAAACGCAGCTGCATGAAGAAATATTTAAAGTGCACACTGTTAAAACAGTGTGGTAGACAATCCTTTTATTAAATTAGTCAAGAAAAAAATTGGAGCCTTTACAAGGCAGCAGAACATTTTAGGGTTAATCTTATTTCCATCCAGAGAGAAAGCAAGAGCAAGCATGTGTGCAGGCACACACACGCTATGGTGTATACAGCTACAATATTGTATCATGAAGGGTCATTTACAAGATCTGCACATCCTGATGCCGCTACAAGGAGCACGCATTACAGTACTGGAGCACTGAATCAATTAACCCTCTCTGGCTGCTTTCCAGTCAAACCCCCACTCATTTACTTCCCTGCTTTTCAAGCACTGGAGCTGAAAACACTGAAATGAGTCAATCAGAAAACAAGCGTAGCAGCAGACTGGGAGCTTCGTTATTGAAAAGAGAAAACTGCACACAGCCTCGCTAATCACTTAAGTAAAATCGTCAAGATGATGGAAGAGAAAGGACAGTAACAAAAAGAACATAATCTTATTTCTATCTTTTTTTAAATGTGGCAAGAATTACTATTCTCCTCCATTCAAGAGCTGGAGAAAATACCTGGGTAAGAAATACAGTTTTCCCAAAATAGAAACTCTTCATCTTGGTATTAGAAGAAACAAGTGCTAACCAAAAGTACACAAAAGGACAACTTTTAGAAAAATTATAAAAAACAAAACCAAAGTAATGAAAACTCTCATCTTAAAACCCACCAGGTGATGAAAAGGATTACAAAGGATCTTCCTGGATACAAAGTGAACTCTACTAAAATGCAAAAGAAAGAGGTAAGGCTTTCTTCACCTGAAAATTGCAGCACATGACATCTTCTCAGTAACTGAGCATTTGTTCAGCTTAATGCCATGACAGCTGTTACAGTCTCAACTCTTCAGCAGAGCTGAGAGACAGAGAGGAAAAGGCTCATACTTAATAAAAGCCCTGCTCAGATTACAAAAACAAGTGGTTTACTCACTTCCCCCCTTCAAGTAATGGGTAAATTTAGATGTCTCAGTTTCATAAATCTTCACAGTCCCCTTGAGACTGTCACCAGTGTTTTATTGTCTACGGCTTCCTGACCCTCATCTGATAAATCAGGAACCATAGAGATTAAAATGGAAACCTCATACATAATTTCTGAAGATATTTTTGAGGTGACCCTCTGTGAAGAAACAGGATTCTTAATAAGGGGAAATATGGGAACTGCCGTCTGCCTACGCACAGGCTGCTGGAGAGTAGACACTCGGGAGAGGAGGAGTTGCATATACACAATGTGAGCATCTGCCTTTGAATCAGTTTGTACTTACAAAGAGCAGATCTACATGCGCTGTACCTAAAGGGAACCATTTGGCATCCAAATTAATCTATTACTTTTTACTGCTGTAGAAAGGAAAGAAAAGAGGGGGGGTAGCTAATGGACTGCTTGCTTTTCACAGCTACTGAATTTTCTCCGATAATCTGAAACCTGAACCTGGGAGACCAGACCACTGAACCCTGCCAAGCAGAGATGGACATAAAACAAGACTTTCATTTTTAAGACTTAATTGCACCTAGCAAGGCACATGATAAAGTTGGAAACCAGCTCAGAGATGGTTACAGTATCTCAAAACAGCAGATGACTATTTACCACACTGACCATGCTGGCCTTTCTGCAGGAGCATCCTGGACCAGAGAGTAACAGTGAACTCCTACACGGTACGCAATTTCTTTGCAAAATACAGCTCCTGAATACGTTCTGCTGGACACAAAAATGTCCTATCCTTCACATTTCCTGAACGGGTCTGGAGCTGGAAATGAATCTTTGTCTCCTCTCTCAGTAACGGGAGAACCCAAGCACAACTACCCAAGTGAGGAACAAGGAAACAAAGTGCGTTGGGCAGCTTTACTGATCCTCCTGGTGATAATCCCTACAATTGGGGGGAACATACTCGTCATACTGGCAGTGTCTCTGGAGAAGAAGTTACAATATGCTACCAACTACTTTTTGACGTCCTTGGCAGTGGCAGATTTGCTTGTGGGTCTGTTTGTGATGCCGATTGCCCTTCTCATGATCTTATTTGGTAAGTACAGCATGTTTATTTCATCAGGCTAGCATATGGAGTACAGTTTGGGGAGGTCTAATTTAAACAGAAAAACTGTTTGCTTTCCACCATTACCATTTTTTAAATCCCTTGAATGAGGGCTGCTAAATCTCTTCTTCTGCCCAACTTCATATAGCTTAATGTCTTTATGGGAAGTATAGCCACTCTGGATATTCTTTCCTTTGAAACAAACGATTCAAAAATCACCTGAGACTTAGAACTCATGCTAAACTGGAGCTGGACATGAGAGATCACATTGTGTACTATTATCTTTAGCAACATCAGCACAATCTTGGCATCTGTTCTATTCAATATTACACCAGCTGCAGGCAATTTACTCTTAAAAAAATGCTAAATGAAAACTAGGTATCTGTTCAGTACACTGAACAGGTTTTCAACTTTTTATGAATCAGGCACCTGATTTTACCTTAGCATTGACTCCAAGCTCCATGAGCAGTTAGAGATGGCTCCTGGCAGCACCAGTGACAACAAACTTTACCAGTACCACTTTCAGGTAAATTGATTTTCTCCCACCCTGGGGAAAGTGGCAAGCCCATAAAGCATCCCAAAGAATTAACTTATCTGTAAAGCCAAGGAAGCTTCAATCTGTGAACCTAGCGTTTCAGGTTTAGATTTATCATCTAGTCTGGCTCATATGGAATAAAGTAAGTATTTTTTAGTATGAGCATACATCATCTGTGACATTTTCTCTCTCATTAGTCATCACAGAACAAGCAAGACTTTTCATATTCTCTCATGTCCGGCTTTATTTCAGATATTGCTTCTGAAAACTAACCAGAGGCAGCTCCATGGGAAAGTCTCTCTCTTTACTCCTAAACTTCCTTTAAGAATACATTTTCAGTGGTCTATTTTCATACCATACAACTAAACAAAAAAAATCAACTAGACTTTTTTAAAATAAACTTAGGGATTTATACAATTATCTTTAAGGTATAGACACCACTGGACTCTAAAAAATGAAAAGCTGCAGCAGCTCATTTTTAATATTCTGGATCTCTAAGAGTTACCCAAGTAACAAAAACACACTAAGAAACTTTATTTCAGAAAGGCTTTTGTTTGCTGCAGAAGACTGGTATAACTTTATTAACAAATGTGATTATTCACTAAATGACTTGAGACTGAATTTCTGTACATTACAGACTGCTCTTCCCTAAACAGAAGTATGAAGTGGAGGTCAGAATTCAGTGTTGAAATTAAAAAAATAGTCTTTCTTCAAGCAACAGTTTCTAAAAAGAAAAATTAACATACATGACCAGGACAGCAATTTATAACTTGAAAAAAAAAACAGTCACAGAAAACCTTGGTATGTCATGTATGTGTATGTGTGTGTAGAGGCAAGAAACGGGTATGTACAGACATACACAGTGATAGTGTAACTGGTCAGTTCCTGCCAAAGGCCTCATTAATAATAAAATGACTAACTATAAAAAGTACTAGTATTGGAGTAGCAGCCAATACAAAGAGAAGGCAAGTTCCAGGTTTTTCTGGAGCGGATTTTTGGTGGTGGTGGAGGTTTTTGGTTTGGATTTTTAAAACTTATTTTCTTTTTGCTAGACTACTGAATCTTTTCTTTTTAATTTTATAAAGGGGCTATTGCTCCTTAATCTCTCAATTAATCCCGTGCTAAACCCTGGTTACAACAGTTTAAAGCATGCTAGGAATCTTAATTTAAAAGTAAAACAAAGGTATCTTTCATCTTGCAGGAAATTTACTGGAGAGCAGCAAAATCAGTTCTAACTAAGACTGCAACCAGCCTTTCACAGAGCAGTGGTTAAAACTGAAATTTCTTGCATACAAGTCTCTTTTTGGCAGCCAACCAAAGAAACTGCTTTGCTTCTTCACTGACTGGGAGAAGATGCTGAGGTGTTTATAGAAGTTCAAAGCATGAGCAAAACATGAGGATTTACTGGAATGAAGCTAGAACAGATAAATACATAACAAATCTAAATCTTGAAGTTACATTAGCCAGCTAACCACTTGAATGTAAAAAAAAAATCACTGATACCCAGAGAGCAAACTAAACCCAGCCTCCTGGCACTTCTACACAGGAATGTCTCCATAATAATGAAATAGCTGGATGCAGTTTCTAGATACAGAATACAGACATTATGCTTCTGAGTTGGGACTGATTATCTAATTATGTGGAGAATATTTGAGGGAAAAGGTGTGAACCAAAGTGCAGGCATATTAAATGATCTTGACTGTTAAAACTAAGCACAGCATGTTCAAATTCAAAGCTTACTGCAGATACTGGCTCCATGCCCTCATGGTACGCTTGATGAAAAATCTTCAGAAATAGGCAGACTGTCTCTGTAATAAAGAGCTGCCCCTTTTAAAGATAAATAAACGAACCTGTAACTCACACTCACAGGTATCATACCATGAGCAGAATATTTATTCTCAGCAGATTGACCGAAATGTACTCTGGTACAAATAAACACTGCAATTTTCATTTAGGAGTGTGTCAGGATACACAAACAGTCCGCTGCTTTTATTTCTTGCTAAATTCTCACTTCTTCCAAAAAAAAGAGGGCATGTTAGGAAATAATCGCATCCTCTGAAACCTAGCTTTCAAGAGTTACCCACAATTCTAACACTAAGAATTACTGAAGAAAACCAAAAATGTTGCTACTGATTGAATAGCAAAATTAGCAAATAAATTAGAGAGACCCTCTCATTTCCAAAGCCTGCAGCAGGAAGAAGTCTGTTGTCCACAGCATGGTGGGCAATTGGTTCCTTGGACACAGTGCATGTACCATACTTTAAAACAGAAAATTTTAAAATATAAAATATTCCTGATGTTCATCTACTTAAAAATCAGGAGGTGATGCTGATCATCCTAGGTTGCAAACTATCATTTGTAAAATCTATCACATGCAATCATCGTCTTAATCTTCACCCATAACTGATGATGAACCATAGCAAATCTTCCCTTCTTGCTTGTGCAAACTACCAGAGAAAACTTCCTGACTGAGGGCTACTTTCCAAAAACTCAAATCTAAAGATAACTAAGAAAATAAAGGTTGGCTTGTCACAAAGCAACTCTAAATAAAAAATAAATAAATAAAAACTTCAGCTACATTTAAAAAAATACATGACAGTGAACTACTACTGAAAATGTAATGGTAACAGAGAAGCAAAGGCAGGCAGTCACAGGGGTGAAGCAAGACAACAGCCTGGAAACACCAGGCCTGTGCAGTCCACAAAGCAGAATACTGACCCGAGGATGAACACCACACATGCATGATGCAGACACACATCCCCCAATCTGAAGACTGAAGCCTAGGCTTAAGTCAGCTAGTGATTAAAAATATCTGATTTCAGTAAAAGCATCATTATGTAACAGCAACAAAATCCTATAGAGGGAACACGCTTCAACAGCCTATAACAAAATCATAGAATGGTTGGGTTGGAAGGGACATTAAAGATCACATAGCCCTGTGAGGATATGAGGCAACATTTGCAGGAAGGAGGAACATCTTCTATCTTATACTATGTGACAATTGGAGAAACCAGACAAGCTTTCAGGCAGGCACATTTGTCAGGTAACCATGGCATTTTAAAAAAATTACTAAAAAAACCCTAAAATCGAACCCACTAACTTGCTTAAATCAGCATTTCAATTCTGAAGGAAAAAGGTGGAGAATCTCAGCCCAGTAAATGCTCTGGTCTGCTCCAACAGTGTGGATCTATACTAGGAGAATCAGAATTTGTAACTATCCAAACTAAGCATGACCTGCTAATGGCTTTCTATTGCCATCTGGCAGGACATACTCATTTTACCTTCCATCTGAATTATAAAGCAAGACAACAAACAAGCAGGTCATCATCATGTTCAAGGGTCAGAGATGCTTTGAGTTCTGAGAGGGGAAATCAATATTCTAACTACCAAAATAAAAGAATAGGCCAACATTGATACACACCACTATCGCCAGGAAAGCACAAAATCTCAGCCCAGAGCAGTCCCTCAAACACTAGGCACAGAGCTAGCACAGGCTTAACCAACCTCTGTAAAATCAAAATAAGTAAAAGCAAAATACACCACAGTATGAACCCTAAATAACTATGTGGCTTTCTGGACTTTAAGGTACCAGTTTCACAGTATTTAGTTGAAATAATAACTGTATTCTTCAATTCTTTTTAGCTACTGCATTTAAAGTCTACTCTGATTTTGTTTGGATAAAAATCATGATCGCAGACACAAGTATAATAGTACAGAATGCTATAATCATGAATGTGATAATCTACTGCCTTCTGCATCCTGTTCAAAACAATACAGAAATAAAGACAAAACTCTCTTCAGTTGCACTTAGCAACTAATGAAAGCTCTTAAAATTCATAAAAACATACAAGGTTGCTTTGCACCAGATTGCTGTTTACATGCATCTATATTTAAAGGAAGGAAAAGAGCTTTTTGCTGCAAAATATTTGAGGGTTTTCTTCTGAAAAGAGTAAATTAACTGGGAAAAAATAAAAAAAGAAGAATTTATCACTGCAATTCATCAAGAAGCAAAGCAGTTATAATCCTGGGAGCAGAAGTAAGTACTCTCCAACAGAAATACTGACTGCTTATTTGAAATCCAGCTGTTATCCTGCCATATTATTAAACGCGAGTAGGCGTTTCATAATATGCTAATTACAACTTCCTCCTACCTGTCTGACACAACAATTTTTTGAAGCACAATTTCAACCATGATAGCTATTTTGGGAAATATACAGCTAGAACTAAAATTTACTGGTTAATGCTTTAAATATAGAACGCCTCTTTCCCTTCTGCTTCACTGCTTATGCCATCCTCCCTTGCTTTGGGGGTGGATGAGGTTTGGTTCAGGGCTCCATCCATCCATTTTCTTTGTTTTTACAGGCGTGGTTTCCCAACATAGGGAAGAATGCAGACAAGCATGTGCTACGTCTGACTTCATAAAATTTTCCATTCTCTGAAGTTTTTAATTCAAGTCAAGGCAGCATCATTACAATTTTCACCTATCAGTTACACCATGTTTTAATCTGAAACTACTGCAACATTACCACATTGATAAGACTGGGCATTAAACAGTCCAGCTCGTTTCACACTCCCAGCATGCAGATCTATTTATTCAGAGCAAGATTAAAAATGATCAGATTAGTTAGAAATGTTGGCTTTTTGGTTTGGGGCTTTTTTTTTTTTTTGTCCTTTAATCATCATTCAACTAAGAACTGATTTCTCTGGCAGTATTATTACCAGGCCTACTGATGGAGTACAGCTGAATTTTAACAGGAAGGAGTATATAGTACATCAACTTCTACCATTAGAAACACAAAAAACTTCTGTGTTCATACTTTATTCCCTAGGACTACAGGACATTCTTACAGACACACAACACTAATTTGCATCTCAAACTGAAAACTGCTATCACTGGACTGCAATAAAAAGTACTTGTGAATTAATATAAAGCAGTTAAAAAAAAACCCAACCAGAGTTTCATTGACATTCATTTGGTTTGGTACTGTAAACTTTGGTAGGGGAGACCCAGCTCCCAAAACTATGAGCTTTTTGAGAAGTTTAACACTACAAAACCACAATGCATTTGACAGATGCTAGGTTCACTATAGATTAACATTAAAGACAGATAACTACTATAAGAAGCAGTATGCCGTACGGAAAATCCAAGCCATCACTTTGGCAAGAGGGAGGGGGAAGATGCACAAGAAAGCCCTTGTTTTTATAAAATTATTACTGGGACAGAATAGCCCTGCTTTGCCACATTAGTGCTCAACTGCAGCTGGACAAGGGACACAACAAACTCATTTTAAAACTGTGTGAACTAAACTCTCCAAGATCATCAACTAAGATTCAATCAAGTTTCTGCAAAGACTGAGTAATACATTGGTTATGACCCATTACCTCCTCCATCTAATACAGCCCTGAATCACAGGACTATCAAAGAGACATAGCTGAAAATAATAACAGCAGGGCACAAGGACCAAGCAGTCATAACCTACTTTTTAAAAACTTTTTTATCCAAAGTCCTTCCCACAAATACCTTATGATCTAAAAAAGGACAAAAAGACAGGAAAAGGCTTAATATACCAGCAGCCTGATTAATATGATGGCAGCAATCATGCCAGTTAGGAGCTAGCTAAAACGTAAGACAGAATCCAGCTGAGGCAGTGGCAAAGCTCATCTCCTGTAGTATTGTGAACTTCTCAAAACCACTAATGGTCAAGGGAAAACCACACACTGAAAACTCTCAAAAAGCTTAGATTCTAATGAGTTTTCTGTTTTCTTTCAGACAACGCCTGGCCTTTACCAACTGCCTTGTGTCCTATCTGGCTGTTCCTTGATGTCCTCTTTTCCACAGCTTCCATCATGCACCTCTGTGCCATCTCACTTGACCGCTATATTGCAATTAAAAAGCCAATCCAGGCTAGTCAGTACAATTCATGGGCTACAACGATCATCAAAATCATCGTGGTTTGGCTCATTTCAATAGGTGAGACTCTGAACTGGAAAGGGAATGCAGAAGCTTTTCACATCCAAACCAATGGGTGACTGCTGGTCAAAATGGAAACTCTGACCAAGTACTATTGATTAGCAGACCCTAACATCTGGGCTGGCCTAAGTCCACCGCTTAGATCATGCATAGCTACACCACAAGAATTTGCCTCAACCACCGCTCCTTATAAGGCTTACCCTACTCAATCATACCTTTTCTTAATGGTCTTAGAAGTCCAAAAATCAGAAGACAATAACTGCATGCATAGTATGTCTTCCGGGAAAGCAAGAGTTTATGTTCCTGTGGTAGTATATTCTGTCCCATGCGTGGTTTAAAGACTTCAGTAGATGCTGCTAAAATCTGTACTTCACAATTTTCCCATGAAGCAAGTAAAAAAAGGTTAATTACTTATATCAAAGACTGAAAGATAAATGAGTGGCTGGTAACATTCACATTGAAGACTGAGATGCACTGGCAATACAGCATATAGAAAGGCTAACTTCCAAGAAAAGAAAACAAAACAAAAAAACCCCAAACCAAACACACTCTGAAGATTTTTTATATAAAGGAAGCCAATGAATAAACTTTTAAATTTGCACCTCTGATGTGCACCTGCCTTTAAGGATTGAAAATAATTTAAAAAAATCATAAATCTGTTAAATGAGCTAAGGAGGTGAAAACATTTAATTCAGATAACCTAATGTACACTGCAGGCAGCCATAGGCCCAGTGCTGTATGCTCTGTGTGCAAGAGAACACAAGAGGGTGGGTACATCCACCATCTTGGCCAAGGTATACATGCCTAAACACAAAAAGTATAACTTCAAAAAAAATTCAGGAGGAACCATGATGATAGGAGAAAAGATGCTATCTTTATTTTATCATAAAAAAAAAAACAACCAACCAACCAAAAATCTGTTAGCATGACAAGACACCTACAAATTGACCTTTTAATGCCTGTTTTGTTGTTAGTAATCAAGTGCTGTACTTTTTCATTTCTTTTTTATCTGACACAAAAGCATTCTGCAACTGAGCCAGGGTTCTCCAAATCAAAGGTTAATTTGGCTCAATCCTCACTTTAAATCTTTGCTGTATCTGAAAGTGTGCCTCTTATTAAGAAAGGGATCAAGTGGCTGAAGAGTTTTTTTTTTGCTCTTGCTGCCTTCAACCAACTTCAGTAAGCAGAGTAGCAGAGGAATACAGTAAATGCCTACATCTCATTAAGCGGTATCAGGAAATATAACACAATAACCTTCACCAGGCAGTAAGGAAGCTGTTGTTTTTGTTGCAATGTCAGACTGCTGGCAAACGAAGTGCTGACTGCAATTTGGTGGTTATAAAAAATTATTTAAAAGACAGAACTGATAACTTTTTAAATATTTTTTTAAAGAGTGGTGAATTACAACGCTAGCTGGTCTCATTTAAACACTCCTAAATATGGAAGAAACTTTAAACAACAAATCCATCTTAAACACACCCTGCATAATTCTGGCAACTATTTAACTACTTGTATATGTGAAAGAGTCAAGGCAGGGTGAAAAAAAAAATAAGAAAAAAAAAAAAAATCAGCTGTGTCCCGTAACTTGATGGGGTTAAGATAAGAAGCAAAGACAAGATTCATGTATTTACCAAACTGCCCTTCAAACGGTGCAAAGGTTACCCCAGGGAAAGGGGGGTGGAAGCAGGTGGCATTAGGGAAACACATTTCACTGGAGGAAAAGCCATACTAATTCTAACAACTACAGTCAAAACAATTAATGTTTTTTACACTTGAGAAGTTGGCAACTTTATACTGCTTCCTCAGTCAGTAAAGGCTAAGCCCAATCTCCTTAGAAAAGGCACTCTGTTACAGCTGAGGTTGCCAAGTCTTTACTATTTGCCCAACTACACACATGATGCTCTCAGTTCTCTGTCACCCTGTGCCAGCTCCAGAGCTCAGGATCTACCTTTCTTTAGAGACCCTGAGGCTTCAAGCCCAAAAAAGATTGCAAGCTGAAGTACTTTGTTTTCTCCTGCAGGAATTGCTATTCCAGTCCCTATCAGAGGCATTGAAGATGGAAATGGCAACTCTACAAACATCACATGTGCCCTGATGCCTGATCGTTTTCATGACTTCATTCTGTACGGATCAGTGGCTTCATTCTTCATTCCCCTCGCTATCATGATAGTCACTTACTTTCTGACAATCCAAGTGCTACGCAAGAAGGCCTACTTGATCAACAAGCCACCTCACCGCTTCACTTGGTCAACAGTGTCCACAGTATTTCAGCGTGACACAACATCTGCATCCTCACCAGAAAAGGTGGCCATGCTAAACGGCTCCAGAAAAGACAAGACTTTGTCCAATGACATGCCAATCTGCAGAACATCCACAATAGGGAGGAAGTCCATGCAAACAATAACCAATGAACAAAGGGCATCAAAAGTTCTGGGGATTGTATTTTTTCTTTTCTTGTTGATGTGGTGCCCATTCTTCATAACAAACATAAGTTCAGTTCTGTGCAACTCCTGCAACCAAGAGATTTTTCAAAAGCTTATGGAGATATTTGTCTGGATAGGATATGTATCCTCAGGAGTGAACCCTCTTGTCTATACACTATTCAACAAAACATTTAGGGAGGCTTTCAGCAGGTATATCACTTGCAACTATTGGACCACAAAGCCTATCAAGGCCCTTAGAAAACGCTCCAGCAGGATCTCTTTCAGAAGCTCTGTGACAGAAAATTCCAAGTTCTTTGTCATGCATGGGATGAGAAATGGGATTAACCCCATTATATATCAGAGCCCAATGAGGCTGAGAAGCTCACCTATCCAAGCATCATCAGCCATTCTGCTGGATACATTGCTGCTCACAGAGAACGAAGTTGATAAAACAGAAGAACAAGTCAGCTACGTATAGTGGAATGGCAGCTGTGTCTATATCATAGTGTTACTGTATGTATTGCTCTAGGTAACACAAATGGACTGCAAGACGGTATAAATACTATTGGTTTTTGTTATTTATGCAAGCAACACCTTACAAATTTATATTAATTCCTCTCCTCCAAAGTCTCCCCTATTTTAACCCCAACCCCATGGTGGCACTCACAGCTTCATTCCATGATAAATGACTAATGCAGAACTGTAGCCAACAGGAAAAGGGAAATAAATAAAAGCTAAACCAATCTGCATATCTGACTTCAGTTCTCACCACCCCCAGTCTCTTCAAAGTACATTTTTATAAGAAAATTATCTCTGCACAAACACTAACATTTACTCTGGCAAGAAGACAGAACATTCTGTAGGTTGATGCTTTATGATGAAATAAGCAAGGGGATACAAGCATGCTTGTTTTAATTTAAATCCACCTTTACTCTGTGTAAACAGAACAGCACATACACTCACAGCGTTACCTCCTACAGATACATTCCTTTGCTGAGACTGTGTATCCAAGTATGAGCTTTTCTTGTTCTCTATGGATATGTGTATCAGAAGCAGAATTACTTGCTCCAGAGACCAAAAGGTGTCCATTCCACAACAGGTGAAACTGTTTCTTAGCAGGGTGAGCTAAAATTCCATGTGCTGAAACTGTCCCTTTGTTGTTTTACTGTAGGGGTATGTAGAATCTTTTACCCACCTGAATTTCATCTCCATTACTCTTGCATACAAATATGTCTGGTATTATTAGATTTGTCAGATGTTCTTTTCATACTAAGAAAGTGAGAGCATTTAACCAAAATAGGACAATACCACATCAGTGATCATGAGTAAACCAGGACAGGCAGTGCCTCGAACTTCCCTTTAATTTAGATGGACAAACTTCCTTTTTTACAACCATTGTAACTTCAGTGAAAGCCTTCCCTTATCTTACATAGTTCACACAAAGTAGAAAAATCACAGATAGAATAGCTATTGCACTTGAAAATAAGAGCAAGTGTTTCAGAGACAGCAGAGATGGCAGTACTATCCAGACCTGCATAAATCTGCAGTTTAGCTTAGCTCAGAATAATTTCACTGGACTAATGGCATAAGATTATTGTAGGTCCCAATCTGCACTCTCTCAAAGATGCTCAAGCCTTTCATCAGAGCATAAAATTCATACAAAGAATTGCTCATCACAACCCATAAAAGTTACCAGAGTCTAGCATCTGTGAAATGAGGAGCTTCTGACAGTTCCAGAACATCTTTCTTTGGGAAGGGAAATCGTATTTCCCCAAAGTACTGGAGTTCTCACAGTAAGCAGCCAGCTCACCATTTTTTCCCAATAGTTCCCATTAACAGTAACATTTTTAGCTGGGTCTCTTGTTTTCATTTTTAGTGTTTTCAGAACCCTCTAGTTACAAACTAAAATTATGTACAGAAAAAGGCTTAGTTTTTTTCCTCCTCAGAACAGAAAGTACAAAAGATAACACGTCCTTCCAACATTTATTTGCATATATTTAATTTAGAACATATGCACATCTGAAGTGGAGCCTAATGTAAAAACTGCCATGGGAGTCCCAGAAGAAATTACTAAAAATACTTCTGTGTTACTTACTGTAAGTTGTCTTCTTCCTACCCTTTTTGGTGATAGTCACTAGTCACTTCAGTTAGAAAAAGCTCTAACTGCTCTTACTCCTCTTCTTGTTAAAATTTGTTTAAGGGGATCCTGTAGTTAAAGCCAGAATTGATGGACTGCAATACTTGTAAAAGATACCTACATCTAAAAATATTTGAGAATCAAAAGCCTTATTAAGACCTAGACTACGTGAAGCTCAAGGGGTGAGGGAGTACGAATAAAATGAACCCCCCCCCCCCAAAGTAAGGCCTCTTAGTAATCAGTGGTTAGACTACACTAACAGGAAATGACCCTTGAAAAAGTCTCACTCAGCAAAGATCTATTTTGTCAAGCCGGCATATAGATTTCTCAGTTTTAGTAACCATATAAAGAAACATGTTCCAGTTATTGAATACAGTCAGCAATAATAAACCTCAATCCAAAGGACTAGTGACTCATCAAAAATCCAGTCTTCCTACAAAGAAAGGAAATTTCTCCATGGACAGAAAAACATGCACATTCCATTTAACATGACAAGTGTAAAAAGAAATTGCTTGTCCACTGAGAAAGCAAACAAGTGAAGAATTCAGGTAACAGTCTTGGAAAGCATAAGGACAGAGGGAGAAGAAAGATGATGAGAAGATGCAGAACTATGCAATAAAAAGACAATATAACAGCAGAGATCTTGTTTTAGCAACTGTATCTACAGGAACAGATTTGAGCAAAGACATTACCTTCATTAGCAAGACATGACTGAAAATAAGAGAGTCACTGCAAGCTACTGTAAGAAAGCACAAGTTTGTTGTACAGTAACTAAGGACAACACTGCTCACGTGGTACTGACAAGCAAGATGGGAAGCTCAGGACTACATCCACGGGCATCATCTTTAAGCAACACAAATTTATAAGGCATTCCTTTTTCTGAAGTAAGATGCTATCAATTCTTTCAGAACCTGGCCCATGACAAACTAATCATGTGGCCAGTTCTGTGGCCTCAATGTACTACATAAAAATAATAACTTATACAGTTATCTAGTTTAACTTTCCTCATAATCACAGAAGCTTTTATCTGGCATATTTCATTTCTGTTTAAACCACTAGAGAAGCAAGACGGACAAGAGTAAAAGCTGATCTGCAACATACAAGCACTATGGGAAGAAATACATTTTAGAAGAGCAGTGGACAAGTATGAGGGTCTTTTTTTTGTTGTTGTTGTTTCATTAATACATTAGGAGATATTTAGTTAATGTTCTGGCTGCCTATCCAATTAAAAATTACAGCACAGACATGGACATAAGGACTACCTATAAATATACCCACCGTAGCAGCCCTGAAGTGAGGAAAACAGTGGAGTTTGAAGCCTAACAGAATAAGTGTCTTGAAATGCAAATAAAGGGGATATCATAAAGAAAAAAAAACCCACAAAAAAACAAAAAAAACACCCCCCAAAAATAAGCAAAACCAAACTGAATCCCAACCTTTAAACCACTCTACAAAACCGAGAAGCAAGAAATTCAGCTAATCTCAACTGTGCTGACATAAAACACATTTTGTGGAGCCAGTCCCAAATCATCTGGGGGATTAAGCTGCAAGCCCCTTGGGTGGTACGGTTTAGTGTGAGGTGTCCCTGCCCATGACAGGGGGGTTGGAACCGGATGATCTTAAGGTCCTTTCCAACCCTAACTGTTCTATGATTCTAAAAAAATTTTCAGGCAGCCAGAAAAATGTATTCATCACTTATCTTGCATTCTCCAAATGTAAAACTTTCCTAATCACATCACATCTGGCCATACTCATACCTATTTCAAATGCATTAAAAAACAGTTAAAAAATCCAGTGTTAAGCAGAGGACAAGGCACTGAGAAGAGAGGTTGACGCTATAAAGCTGTTCACTAGCATACAAGAGGCATGCTGATTTTTTTATGCCGCTTCATAGAAAATGTAATTTTCCTACACCATTTTCTTACTGTGGAAAAATCCACAGCACTTCAGGCTGGTACGAGAAAGCAAAAGGATCACTCCCCTAAATCTTTTTCTAGGCTGTCATATGTAACTTCAGCCTTAAAAGGTAAAGTAATGCAAGCACAGTAAACCTGGTGAATGCATACTGAACAACCTGGTACTCTGGAGCCAAAAGAGACAGGACATTCACCAGAGCTCCTCTGGCTCTTTGCATTGGAAGCTGGAGGCAGGAGTCCCAGAGTTCTGGCCAGTCCTCAGCACTGACTTAATACTACCATGAAACATTAGATTTCTTTGATGACATTGATAAAACTGCCTACCTACAACTGCTAAAGAAGCACTTCTTCGTTTCACTTCCCCTTTGGATCTCTAGGTAACTATCAACAGAAAAACAGCAGTCAGGAGAGAAGTAACTTCCTATTTCTGCTTTGTTATTTGACACCATGTTGTTTACTGTCACTGACCGCTCCCCTGGGACACACTGTTTTCTCCAGTCGCAAAGGAAGACTTTTGCCCTGCAGGAGAGGAAGCTTTTCAGTTTTTAAATGGGAAGCCAGCTACAAAATAGGAAAGATGGCTTGCTGAAATGTCCATATTTACTCTTTTTTAAAATAAGTTATGTCAAACCCTATTTGTCTAGCCATGCCTAAGATTCCTTGCATCCAGGTACCAAGATCCTTTCCAACCTCTGAAAAACAGTATCATGCTCTTAAAAATTAGGAGCTTTTTGCTTTCTGATGGATACTCTTCACAAATGCTCCAGACAGTTGACAGCAACTCATTTTCAAATTCATTAACCACTGCACAACAAATAAGTTTTATTCTGCAAGATGCACGTCAACATATCTTAATAAAATCCAACAGGAGTCTTTGCCATTAAAAACAAAAAATAAATCAACTTACTTTAATGGCTCAAAGAATCTCAGAATTTTTTATGACTTAACTTGAAACTTCAGCTGCTGAACAGTAGTTTTAAAGCAAATTCAAGGATTTGGTCAGACAACCAAATTAGTTATAAACTGCACTGCTTAAAATGTTTAGTTACTCAGTTAAAAAGCTTTAGTGTGTATAATCTGGGAATCTGAAAATATTTTTCTGGAATGAGAGGTGGGGAGGAATATTAGATTGGTTTCTGTCACTCTTCTCACGCATGCTGTGATTTAGTGATATGAAAATCTTTCTATATAAGCTTATAGGCTTATTATAGGCACTACAGGCAGTGCTTATAAGCCTATCATTTTTACGATGTAAGGACCAAGTGACTAATCGAAGGAATACTCTGGAGATTTCAGCAGGTTTCTTCAGCCTAGCTTGCACCTATCTTAGATTTAAACCCAATCATGTTGCTTATCTGTGTAGACATTCTACTTTACAGTAGGAAGTTAAAACACTTGCAGAGATTTTCAAACGCTCTCAAGCAACATAAAGCTCTGAGCTCTATTTCCTGAAGTAGAATCTCATGAATACAAAGTGGTCTAGAATAATGATAAAACTATAGCAAGGAAGAATTAATGCAAGATGTCATAGTGTACCGATTGCACAAATGCATTCATTGTTTCAATCTGATTGTACAGCTACAATTTTCATTAGAATTTAGATTAGTTTTGCCAGAGATGCCAAGGGAATTCTCCAGTGCACAATAGTTTGGTCAGTGAAGACGCACACCTCTGTTTCCAGTTTCAAACCTACAGATAAAAGCACTTTCAAATCTAAAAATACTTCCATGAAAGTCTGAAGCTTCTTCTGGTTATAGGAAGATTTCTGTTACTATTAACCTTTCACTGAAAGGGACCCTCATCCTCCTCCCCCAGGAGGACAGAAGAAGACAAAAATGGGTTGGAGGTAAACAAAACCCTTTCACCTTTCCCCATGCAAGAATCAACAAGCAGGTATGTTTCACTAAATTCCTCTTCTTCACAGTTAATGAACTGAAAAAGTGACTGGTACAGATAACATTAGAGTGACTGTTAGCCTATTACTCAATTACCCAGAAGATTTGCCATCTGCCTACTGGATAAAGGTAGGTTGTAGGGGTTAAAACAAATTGTCCGAGTATTCCTGGAACAAAATCTAAGTATCTGACCTGTGTCTGCCTCAAAACAAATATATAGTGTTAAAATACCAAAGACTGTGTAAACACAAAGAATACAAAAGCAGGAAACATTACTATCGCACTTGCCTAATCCTAAAACGAAGAACTGAACATAAGCCATGCAGGGCTCTCTGGCTTTGGGTAGCCTACACTTACCAGCCGAGACTACATCTTTCTTTTGAGACTCTCTAGAGGCTGCATTGTTCCCTCTCCTGCCCTTAGCCTTTTCCCAACAATACTGCACCAAGGCAGAAGCAGCAACTTGCAACTTAAGTTCTCCTTCCCCATGGCTCTTAACACTGCTATGAGAGTATTAAACCCTTTCAGTTCACAGTTTCAAGCATTGCTGCCTCCCACATTGAAGCCTTCTCAACAACCGTATTTGTTGTATCTATAAAACATATACCTCCTCATTTTGTACATAAACTACAGTGTTTAGATACACTGCAGCATTGCTCTAACATACAGCAATATTAAAAAAAGCTGACTATATAAACCAATTACATCTCACTTTGCAATGTAAACAAAGATCAATTCCTGATCTGAATTGGTAAAAATTAAGATAAAAATAATTATTTCCAATTTTAAAAAGTAAAGCACTTTAAATTTATTGTGTTTTCCATTTCATCTAAGTCTTAAAAGCCAAAAAGGCTTTTTGCGCATTAAACAAACTTATTCTCTTATTTGAATCCTGACTTCACAGTTCTCTTTCTGCAACCACATACAAAGAATTCAACAACATCTCACAGAAGCTTCAGTCACGTTCTTCCACCTAAGACAAGAATAATTTCTGGGGCTTAGCACACAATGTTAGAGACCTGCTTAGCTCCCACCATAGAACACTTCATTCAAAAGCTCTGTATACCTAGCAGCTGACAGATTACTGACTCTTGCCAGCATTCAATGCTGTATTAGGGGCTTTAACACAAGTAAATCTACATAGACTTCAACAAGCAACAGTCCTAAGAGATGTCATTTTACGCAAGAAATCTGACAAACGCGTAGCCCACTTGCTCTTTATGGGCTATAGAACACAACTAGCTCTAACTAGCAGTTTCAGTAAACAGGAAATGTAAATGTAAAACCTCCTTTTAGATCACTACAGTAATATACATTCTTTATTTCCAGAAACTGAAACACAGCTTTTGGTTTATAATTAGAGAGAATAACGGGGGGGGTAACCTATGGGGCCCACTTAGCAGAAATTCCCTTCCACTGCTGTATGTGAATGCAGGAGTCTGAGCTAGACAAACCAAGGGCTCCCTCCAGAACTGTGTCTTAAAGCAAAACAACTGATCATGTACTTTATGACAGTTATCAAGTGAAAAACCTTAGCAGTTACAACAACTTGACACAAGGCTTCAGTCTCCAGAAGCCAATGATATCGAGGTAAAAAGTTTTAGTCCTTTGCTACCAAGTCAGGTGGACACTGGAATTTATAAATTCCTCCTTGCTGTGCAAGCAGGTTTTGGACTGTACCCCTTCAAAAGAAGAGGCAGGATAAGATATGAACCACTGCAGAGCAGGTGAAAGAGTCAGAGGTAATGTTACTCATTTCCTTGTTGCTGGATATGGAGAGAACAGGCCCAGAAGCACCTTGCCCCAACAAGATGCAAACACATGGTAAATGGTTTAGCTCAGAGCCCTGAAAAATTCTCATTTTGGAGCAAGCTAATGATAACAATTACATTTTGCATTTATTGAGAAGAAAAATAACGTTGAAATCAGAGGTCAAAAGTGATTTGCCACAAACTGTTTGGAAAAAAGATACCTGAAAATATGGAAGACCTGCATGGAATTTTCTTTCTGTACACAGATGCAGAAGACAGTTGATCAGACCTTTTTAAATTCAGGAGACTATTGCTATGCAGCAAGAAAAAATGCAACAGAGCTGAAGCTCTTAAGAGCCACCTGCTGCTCACATAGGAAACTCGTTCATTAATGACAAACTTGACTCATCATATCAGTAATCCATGTTTTTAATACCACCTTTAAGCACCTCTTACCCAGCTTTTAAGGATGACTTTACAGACTGCCACTA